CATTCTCAGCTGCAGGATATTTGAGATTAGAGTGGTCAGTCAATAACTCGTGTAATTGAAAAACAGAAAAGTAATACAGATCGAAGCAGACAGTGTTGCTTCCACTAACAGACATCGATTCTGAAGAGCGAGAAACGTGTGAAATCAGCTCTGTTTCAAAAACTAGATGGAAATTATGAATACAGACCAACAGAGCATTCAAAAACTCATTTCTATCCATATCTAACTTATTTTTGACAACCAGTTGACAAACTAATGCCAGTTTGTGAGCTTTGGTTTGGGATGAATCATTTGAAAGGTACGTATTGTTGATTGTTTTATACAAGCTCAACATCTGCTCGTTTGAGTCTTTAGAGCTCTCAATTCGTAATAAATCTTCAAGGAAATATTGCGATTTGAACTCTTTTCGTGACAGACATTTTAAATCTTCACCAAACTTGTAAGTAGATGATGGAATAATTTCTGGTCTTAAGTTTCTGATAATATTACTGTACAGTATTTCACAAAAGGTGTCAGACGAGAACAACAGTGAGCCCAAATTTGAAGTAGATATTCTACGAGAAAGAAACTCTGCAACCTGGGATAACAGTGGAGAAAATGTCTGTTTGAAGTTTACAATGAATGCATTTCCTATCTGCACCATAAGAGTCTCCGCACCTACAGGATCAACCACATTTGCAAAGCTGGAAAGTATGAAAGCATCTCCAAGCAATTCTAAACAAGGTTGTTTCTTATAAATATTAAAGAGGATCATGGCCATGCAAGTAAGATCACTTGGTTCTAGCTTGTCTGAGTTATAGAGCATCAAGTCACAATGTTCAATGCATTGTTCAACTTGATCAAGAGATGGTTTATCAATATAGTTAAATGCAAGTAAAACCATAAGAGCAGATTTTCTCTCAAAATTCTCAAAAGAAACTTTTACAGCATTCATTCTTTCTAATAGGTTTGTTGGTTTTATGGCTGTTGCATCCCGTTTTGATATTTCAGTTGAGAGTAGGCATTCAGCAAGTGAGCATAGAATTGCCTGCTCTTCAGAAGATGCTACATAATTGCCAAGTGAGTTTGATTCAATCAATTTGGCAAGACTGGACAGAACCGGGAAAAATGATTGGAGCTCTTGAGAAAATATCTTGGTGATAATACCAGCTTGTGGTATCCTCTGGGCCTTGATAACCACAGAAAGAGATTGATTCAAAACATAGTTAGTGTGGCTATGGAATATGTTGTGATCCTTTGGTTCGGATGATTGCCTGTAGTTGTAGCCATTAACAAATCCATTAACAAATCCATCACTATAAACCTTCTTCATGTGCTGCAAAAATTGGGCCCCAGTATCTTCAGCAGGTGTTTTTGTTACCGCAAAGTAGGCATCAAAGGGATTAATATCTGGCGAACTATCATATAATTCCATTTTGAATGTTGGATGGATGTAATTTTTTTTTGAATTTTACAACATGAAATATTGAATTTATTGAAGGCAAAAAATACAAAAAAAATCTGTAAATAATATTATTGTTCCGGACAGCAATGGATCCAGAGGATATCGCTAGGGACCGTTTTAATCAAAAACATAAGGAACTCTTGGTGAAATTTCCATACAATAACACACTTAACACTAATTTATATGTGGATGGATACGAGCCCACCTCTATTGGATGTAATTGTTTAGGCTTTTGTTTGTATTTGAAGAAGTTTTTTCCATCAGGCTTTGTTTGTCCATCCATCAAACCGGCAAACAACAACACTTCTATCAACCATGCAATGTTTTATGTGGTTAGTGGCGAATATTATTACATATTTGAGACTTCATTTGGCGGCTGCAGTGAGGTTTATAAAATTCCAACCAACACTGAGCCCAGTGGAAGTGTGAATACATATAATAGAAAAATATGCCGAACAAATAATAGTGAGCAGTTTACCTTGGAATTTCAAGACAAGAACGGAACAACAAAGTGTATTTGTTATGTAAGGGAAATTACTTCCGATGAGAGAAATCAAATTATTTCTAGTGTAAATAACACCAACAACAGAATTGTTCAACAACGTGATGCTGATGCCAAAGTACAATCTGGAGCTTCTGTTATGGTTAAAGAAAAAACAATTGGATTCCATTATAAATCCATTCAAAAAAAGATTGAAAAGCAAGTGCTCACCATTTCTGAAATCGAAAAACAACAACTTAGTATGCAATACTTGAAATTTTCCATGGAAGAATCAGCAACTTTTTGGGGATGTGTGCATGAATTACTGGGAAAGTAAAAATAAACCTGTTTTCAAAATGACTTTCTAACTCCATTTACACTACTTCCCATTGAAATTGAGTAACATGGCCCAAAATTGAAGGGATGGTCTCAAGGCTTCAACACGAGATGTTTGACCTTGAATTGTAAGATAAGCTGCATAATACTCAATAGCATAAGGGTCATCCATTGAAATATTGAATGCAGTAATAAACCATTATAGTTTCTAGTGTAAAGTTTGAAGGTTTCTTCCTTAATCGAAACTAACATCCTAAATCTCTGGTTTGAAGTATAAGTTTCCATCCAGATGAGCAATTATGAACGTCGTTCCTTCGAATTTGTTCCATAATTCGGATATTGGTTTGATTAAAAGCATCCTTCTTGTGATACTTTTTCTCTTCTTTAATAGCTTTAAGAGTAGAGGCCACCAAATCGAGGAGCTCCATTCTGGAATTACCATTGTTCTTTTGAATTAACTCCCTTAGAATCAATAAATCCTTGAATGCACCTTTGTGAATTTTCATCGATGCATGCCAACTTCTTCCTGATACTGCTGAAATCATGTTCTTTCGAAGACGACACATGAATGGTGAAAGGTACTTGTTGGCAATTGTTAGAAATTCCAAATTTCCTAGGAACTTGGCAACTCTCTTGCATGGAACATAAAGCGGTTTCTGGGAAGCATTGAGTAGCTCCTCTATGAATTCTAAGGTTGTAATCTTTTTGTCTTCTGGAATTTTTACCAAACCTTGATGAAAGTCTAACAAAACTCCTAGGTATTCTAATAATTGAGTTGGATTTAAACAACATTTGTCTTTTTGAATGAGAAATCCAAACTCTTCTATCCTTTAGAACTATATCTCTGTCTAAGATCAACTGATCTTTTGAATGATTTACCACTAAGATATCGTCTAAATAAATGAATACCGAGATTCCTCTTACTCTCAAGTGGGGTTATGTTACTAAGCTTAGAAATGGTAACATCAAATTAGATCTCAGTGGTCACAAAACAGATTTCTACTAGAAAAGCCGATTACTTTTGACAAGCATCTTGAAAATCCTTCAGTGTATCCAGTGAAATTGCTTTTTGATTACAAGGACACTACAGCATTTCAAAACAGCAGATTCACCATTGTTTTCATTGCAAGACAATATTTTCTTCAACACTGACGATGTTTCTCAACTTATCAAGAATGCTATGATCTTTGTTGATTCAGAAATCACTGTTTCTGGTCACAGTTTACGTATTGGTGCAACTACTGAGAGTATTATCAAGGGAATTCCTACTCAGGATATTATTATAGGGACTAGACATAAGGATGTGAAATCTTTACAACCTTATCAAAGACAAGAAGCTCTTGCCGCTCGCCACTTGTCTACTACTCCTTTCTCGGGACAATATCCATTAGTTTATTTATTGTTGGTTTTCTTTTAAGAAACAAGAGTTCTTCTATGACTCCGTAACCTCTCCTTATATAGGAAATTGCCGTAACATTGTCGCCTCTGATTTCGAATGCTTGTCCAGGACCATAAAGGTTTAACAGATCTGCTTGTGTGAAGAAAATGAGGAGTGTTTTTAACTCTTTCACATTGATGTGTTCTGAGGAAGTGAATCTTCCAATTGTAATGGTTGACTCTGCGTGAATTCCATAGCCTGTTGGGCAGGCATCTGAATTCACTCGAATTGGGTTCATTGAATTCAGTTCGAAGGGAATTCCACTGTTTTCCTGAATCAGATCTTTCAAAATATTTAGATCCTTTGCTGCACCTCTGAATATTCTCATTGATGCGTGCCAAGATTTGTCGTTTACTACTTTCACCATATCCTTCCGAAGACGAGCAAGAAAGGGAGCAAAGTAGTGGTTTGAAAGAGTTAGAAATTCCATCCTTCCGAGGAATTGTGCTACTTTCTTGCATGCTACAAACCTGTTCCGTTGGTTTGCTGATAAGAATTTTTGAATCATTTCTAAGGCTGTTGATTGTTTGTTGACTGGGATTTTCACAAGGCCAAGTACGAGATCCAGTTCCAGACCGAGAAACTCTATGTGTTGACACGGTGCTAATACGCTTTTCTCTTTCTGGATTATCCATCCCAATGTCTCCAGATCCTTCATGACTATGTCTGTGAGCAGTTGGGTAGTTTCTTTGCTGTTGTTTAGAATCAAAATATCGTCTATGTAAATAAATACTAGAATACCCTGCTTTCTCCACTTGGTCACCAACTCTTTCATAATCTTTGTGAAATTTCTGGGAGCTTGACTTAGCCCAAACGGTAGGCATTTGAACTGATAAATCTTGTCCTTGTACCGGAATCCAAGAAGATTGCGATGTTTCTCCCTGATTGGAACGTGGAAGTAACCCTTCTTCAGGTCTATCTTTGTTGCCCACATTCCCTTCTGAACAAATTTCAAACATCTTTGAATGTTGTCCATCTTGAAGGAACTGTCCTTTATTCCTAAATTGACCTTCCTTAGGTCTAGAATAAAGCGAAATTGATCCGAACCCTTCTTGGGTACAATGTTTATTGGGTTCAATATTGTTGACTGTTTCCATCTCTATTACATTGGACTCAGCATA